TGAAGACGAAAAGCCGGCCAACAAACGAGCCAAGAAGTAGCCACGCTTCGTGAGTGGTAGCAGAGTTCGGCTCCGCATGCAGTGCCAAGGGCTACTACTCTATACTCTAGTCGTCATAATACTGTGGTCATACGAAAGCTCGCTGCTGGCACCGCTGAGCTGATTTAGATTCAACCAGTGTTTTGGACACTGGTCCTCGCTGGATCCTTGCTGGGTCGCCACTGTGGCGAGAGAAATGCCAAAGTGAGTGTGTGTGTGTGTGTGTAGGTAGATAGGTAGGTAGCTAGCTAGGTAGGTAGGTGGGCGATAGCTTGGAAGTCACAAGCAAAGTTGGTAGGAAGGCAAGGCAAGCAGTTCGGCAAGGCAGGGCAGGTATGGGTAAGTAGGGAAATAGGTAGATTCGTGGATTAGTTGGTGGATTAGTTTCTAGGTAAGATCTTGGGTTTGGACTTGACATGATTTGAGTTGTTATCTCTATTCTGGATTCGGGTTCAAAGATTTCAACCCTATCCTGGGAGCATTAACTTCTAGCGGCAACCCCGAACCCTCGCCCTAAACCCTTACTACTTTTTCTTAACCCAAACCATTGTGCGAAACGGCGAACCCTCGCCCTAAACCCTTACTACTATTCCCGAGACCATTGTGCGAAACGGCCTAAAGCGCCTGACTACTTAGAAAGCTCCAGCCTACAACTACATCTCGAGCAAAGCCCCTAGAATTAAAAGTTGGCAACCCTACCCAACCCTACCCAACCCTACCCTCGCATGCCAGGCTCCGATGAAGAGCCACTCGACTTCGGCCGAGTGGCTCAGTATGCCGAGATGCTAGGCGAGGGAGCCGCATCCTCGGATTGGGGATTAGGGACTTGCGGTTACCTTTAAGGCTTCAGGGTCTAAGGTTTATGGTGGGGGGATTAGGCAAGGATCAAGGATCATAGTCTAGGGGTAAGGTTTCAATATAGTTTTTGGGATTGAGGAACAGGGCTTTCTATCGTTTGTGGTAGAAGCCAGAAAGTTGGAATATTAGTACCCTCATGCCCCTAATGTAAAGCATTAGGGGATCCTAGCACTAATCCTCCTAAATCCATATTCCAACTTTCTGTCTTCTACTAATCGGCCTGTTGACCAAACACCCTTAAACCCTAGAGCCCCTGCTCTCGTAACATCCCCATGCCTGAAAACCCTTAAACCCTAGAGCCCCTGCTGTCGTAAAACCCCGATGCCTAGAAACCCTTAAACCCTAGAGCCCCTGCTCTCGTAAAACCCCGATGCCTAAAAACCCTTAAGCCCTAGAGCCCCTGCTCTCGAAACACCCCCATGCCTAAAAACCCTTAAGCCCTAGAGCCCCTGCTCTCGAAACACCCCCATGCCTAAAAACCCTTAAGCCCTAGAGCCCCTGCTCTCGAAACACCTCCATGCCTAAAAACCCTTAGACCCTGGAGCCCCTACTCTCGCAACACACCCATTCCCAAAAACCCTTAAACCCTGGAGCCCAAGGTCTCGTAACAAGGGTACTGCATCGTGTCTTTGAAAATGCTCTCGATGTCCTCAGTCCCGGCTTACAACAGTATATTATTATGTTAAACTCCAAAACCAGGCACATCAGCTCCCGAAATCCACGCCGCAGTCCCGTTGTTAATCTTTTAGGGTTTGGGTTGGTATCTGGCAAGTAGAGCTTAGAATCTCAGGTTCAGAAGATCAGAACAGGAAACATGGAAACGAGTCGCCCCGAAGTTCCAAAGCCTTCATTCAGCATCAGGAATTCCGAAGTGCCCCCAAACCAAAGTGCAATCAGAAGCCCAGGCTCATTTCCGAGTCGATAGGGGTGTCTCTAAAGTTTACTAAAGTGTACACTTGGGAAGTCTTAAATACTATACTTTAAGGTTATGTTCTGATATCCTGAAGTCTATGTGGCATAGTTAAGCCCGCCCAAGAAAACCCAAAGACTATGCTTCTAATTTCTTGTGTCCCGCCCAAACCTAGTGTGCCGAGGCCTCTGCGAAGGACACCAAGCGGTGCATCAATCAGATGCTGCATCCGGAGCAGTCAGAAGAAAAAAGGCGGCGAGCACCGAACGAGGAACGAGATTGCCACGTTTTCTTTAAACGGTGGGGTACATCTTTGCCTGTGCCAATAACTGAGCATACTTACGAATTGGATGAGGGAGAGAAAGCTGATACTGCTTATATACGTGTCCACGATTGGCTGAGATACCTTATCAGTCGGCAGCCTTGCTTGATCGCTGGCGGCTTTGGAGACTCAGCTGGAAGCCTACTGGGCCATGTATAAACATTATCACGGCACCCATCCGGTGTTTGCTCGAGGCTTGGACCTTTCAAGTACAGTGCCGCTGATGGTCTACTCAGACGAAGGCAAAGGACCGAAACGAGGGAACTTCGTCGTGGTGGCCATCGAGTCGCCGATTGGCTTGGAGGAGCAAGAAGCAACGGCATGTAATTGCGAGGCCGAAGTGAAGAGGGCACCGCAGCAATATGTGCCACACGGAAACCCGGCCGTGTGCTCAGAGACGGAGGTCGCACTGAAGCAATCTACTACTTGCAAGGGCCACTCCTACCTCACAAGGCATGTGCTCTTCGGCCTCCCAGACTGGACATACAAGCATCATCCAGAAATTTTGGAGCAGATGATGCAGCGGGTCTCGGACGAGCTTTCGGAACTTTTTTCTGCAGGCTTGGAAGTTGAGGGCAAGACCTGGACGGTCGCCTTGGTGGGAGTCAAAGGCGACATGAAGCAGATCGCAGAGAAAATTGCCTATCTTACAAGGTATTATGCTCATCTTGGCCGGGTGAACTACATCGGTGTTTGTGCACATTGCCTGGCTGGCACACGAGCCGATGTTCCCTTTGATGAGCTACAGCACGAACCATCATGGGCTTCGACACTTCACCAGGTGCGGCCATGGACCTCCACGCCCTCTCTGTGCAGTGTGCCGTTCGACTCGGCTGCACCTGAAAAGGTTCTGAAATACGACCCGTTTCATTGCTTTAAGCTTGGACTGGGCCGAGATATCTGTGGATCACTGGTCCTACTTGCCCGCCTTGGATATTATGATGATCCTGATGGCAGCGATGACAAGAATATCAAAAGCAGGCTGGTTCGCTGCCATCAGCATTTTAAGCTGTGGCGAATAACTGCAGGCAAAACGGCTGCACTACGATACTTTTCCACTGGGCTGTTTAACCTCAAGCGGCTGAACGACTACGCTTGGAGCAACACCAAGGGGAGCGACACGATGTTACTTTTGCAATACATCATCTTCTTCGTCTCCCTCCTTCTTCAAAGGCAAAACTTGCCTCAGATCCATGTCCGCCTCTTTCGCACTCTGAAAAAGACGATTGCAGAGGCTCAGCTGGCTTTCCAGATCATGTATCGCCACGGACTCTGGCTACGCCGAGTTTGCGCTCAGAATTTATATCTGAAGCTGATGGCGGTATTATCTGGCTACAAGAGCCTGGCTCAGCAATCTCTGGCAATGGGCCTGATGTTCTTCGCTTTGAAGCCCAAGTTCCATGCCCTGCACCACCTGGCTTTCGAAATCAGGCAGGGTTTGATGGGCTCTGGGCCGTTGATCGCCAACCCAATTGCATGGAACTGCGAGATGGGCGAGGATCTGATTGGACGCATTTGCAGCCTCTCACTCAAGGTTTCGATCAGAACGATCAACCGAAGAGTGCTGCAGCGTCATTTTTTGAAGAAGGCCGCCCTGATCCGGCGCCATCGTGCGAGCCGGCGGGCTGGAAAAGTCTAGAGCGGGCTATAACTATGCCATTCCGGAATTCTAGGGTTCAGGGTTTTCGGGTATAGGGTAAGCCAAAGGAGCACCATCAGGCCCCAAGCAGCTCAGCCGCATTGCAGTCGAAGCATGGGTTTGGAGTTAAAGCTGGGGTTCTAGGGGTTCCTCCTAAGACCTCTAATCCACAACCGGTGTCTCCAATGTCGCCAATCGCTAAATTCGTTGCAAGATCAAGAAACAGCTGTCTCGTGTAATTGTTCACACTGGTAATTTGAGCCCGAGTTCCTCAAGAAGGCGACTCACTTCAAAGACCTTAAACCCTTAAACTTTCCCCAACCCCTCGACTCGTCCTTTCGGATAGTCAGAGAACCCCATGACCCCTTCAAGTCCCGAAAGCCCCAGAATCAACACTCAACCCTTGAATCCATCAAAGAGGCCCGACGTGTGCAAACCTCAAACCCCAACCCAACCAAACTCCTCTTTAACAAGCCTTTGAAGCCGGTTTTGGGTTCAGGGTATTTCGGGGCAGAAGTCTTGGCGGCAACTTTGGTTTTTCGTCGGCGGTTTTGATTATTGCCTGCGGGTTTGGTTTTTGGCGTCTAAATAAATTGCCTCTTGGCTTGGCGGCGGAAATAATAGCCGCACGGTTTTATAGGTATATATATATATACACTTTTTCTTATGTTGTAAATAAGAGAAGTATAAACACACGTATGTATGTATATATGTCTGTACTTGTTTATTTATACGGAGATGTATATGTAGATGTAGCTGTAGAGATATACGTATACGTACATGTTTATGTGTATGATAGGTACATGTGTGTGTGCACATGTAGATGTATATGCAGAGGTTGACGTATACGTGCATGTAGTGTATAAGTATATTTAGATGTCGATGTAGATGTAGATGTGCGTATACATCATATGTGTATGTATATCATATGTGTATGTATAAGTGTATGTATATGTGTATGTATATGCATATGTAAATGCATGCGTGTTGTATTGCATTGCATTGTGTTTTCTTGTGTGGTGTTGCATTGTACTGTATATGTGTCGAGTGCTCTGTAAAGTCTTCGTTGAGACGGCTGATACGTTGCCCCCCGTCTTCCTTTGATTAGGCAAGGTGTGTTTCTGAGAAGATGCTCCTTCAAGGAGGGTGTCCGCACTTTCCACCGCAGTAGCACCGAAAGCAAGAGAGTAAGGACCGTGATTCGGAGCCCATGCTTTAGAAGTTGGATTCAGGCATTCAGCGAGCTCGATGCACAAGTTGTTTGCCGTGAGCTTGGCCTTTATGGCGGCACTGCAATCCTGGGATTCGGAGAAGGACGCGATGGGTGCAGGGTTCGCCAGCTCCTCAACCCCAAACCCAAACTTTTCCTCCTAGCTGGTCCCTGTCCTGGAGGCCGTGGCACAATCTGGATGGATAAGCTTGGCTGCTTCGGCACGGAGGACCTCTTGGACTCTTGCTCGTTTGCAGGCAGGGCAGTGCCGAGCACTCGGAGTGGGAACGAACGACGAAACCAGGGGTACCTCATGATTTTGTTTTAGGATCTTCAGTAGAGGTTAAGGAGTCTACGCTATTCAGTGGCCTTTGTGTGGGTCCTTCATTTTCTGAAGCTTCCTGTGTAGGGCAGGGTCAACCAGAACCGTTCCGGACCTTTGCAGGTCTGAGGTTTCATCTGCCCTTCGCTAGCATCTGGAAACTGTGCGCACGTGTATTCCCGCATACCGGGTGGCACAATTTTCCGCGATTGCATGGAATGACTAATGAAAGGCGCCGAATCGCACATATTTGGTGCATCGGGGTCACGGTTTGAGGGCTCGGGGTGCGATAGTGGAGCACTGAAGTCTTCCGGGAAATAAGACCGTATCCATGTACTGGGCCGCAAACAGCACGCCCGTCGCACGAGGGTAACCATAGCTGCAATTGTGCCATGTACGGCCTTTGAGCTGGCTGTGTTGGCCTCAAGACAATCCTGCAACAACTTCATTTAACAACTAATGCGTGTTGGAGAACCTTGCTGCTTGTGTAGAGACGAACTGGATGATCCATCACCACGGCTTTCTATGCCAGGCTGGGGCAAGACTTCCTGCGACCATGAGCAAGATGCTGGCGTGCAATGCGAGGCCGGGGCTCCTTTTAATCTGGTGGTAGCAGACAGAAAGCCCTCGACCCTGAGCCGACTTCCAACGCCCTAATCCCTCTTGCGAGGCTTCTGTTGTCGCCGCGACTTCTCCAACTGGAGTTGAGGCACAGATCGGTGTTTTTGGTTTAGGTCACAGGGTTTCGCGTACGAGAAGATGTCCCTGTTTTGCGATTGCAGCGCGCACTTGCAGTCGATTTAAGTTGCGCTTAAGCCAGAATCCCTTCATGTCAAGGTTCGAGTTCCAGGTTCAGGCTCATAGGTTCTTTGGACACCACTGCTGCTGCCACTGCAAAGTTTCGACCTTGCTGCATTATTCAGGCTTTAGCACTTCAGGTTTGATCTTATACAGCATTTGGTGGTTTACTTGGGCTTTATCCCAAACGGTGTGGCAAGACTATGGTGCTCTTGCGTTACAAGAGTGAATTGAATAGATCGCTGGGCCCAGAAGGGGCGCCAGTGGTGTGCACATGTTAAGGTGTTTCCCGAAACCGTTAACCGTTAACCCTAAGCCCATCCCGCCTGTGGGGCTTTTTCGGCCGGATTGCCCCACGTCGCTCCCGGGGTGCCTGGATTGATGCTGGAGGGGTGTAGGGCTTGGATCGCGAGGTGATCTTTCAGTGTTTCGAATACGCTAGCGTGGTAGTGTTGGAAGACATCACCTGGAAGAAAATATTAATGGGGCGTAAATGGTTAACACTACTTTTTTGAAGAGCACATGGCGTCTTTGCTCCCGCAGGGCATCTTCTGCATGGCCCCACGTGTGTGAGCTGTCTCAAGTGTTACTGGACTGTTGGTCGCGTGCAGATGCACCTCAAGCGTTCCCAGGAATACCTCCGCCGGTCATGCCTGAGGTGGAGGCAGCGACTTGAAGCGGCGGAAACAGCTCGAGAAAGACAGTGGAATGCCTACCGTGCTCCGCTCCCTGCGGTGCAATGCGAGGGTCCTCTGCCTGCTACGGCGGTGGAACGTCTTGCCTTGGACGAGGACATGGACCTTGGGCTTCTTGCCAGACAGCACAGACCCGATCCGGCATTCCTTGCGTGGGCCTTCACATCGAAGGGAAGTCCAGTGAGGGTCCCCGAAAGAGCTCATTCGGCTTTCGGTCCTCTCGCCCTGGTTTCGCTTGAATTCGCTTTGCTATGGACGCGCCTAACGGCTCTGAAGTCCGCAGAAGAAGACTACTTTTCGGGGGGTTCCCAAATCCCTTCTCTACTTATTAACATATTTCATGCAGGGCCTCCTGGTCTCGACCACTGCAGCTGTCCGTTTCTGGCTCCTAGGAAACGGGAGCGCTGCCAAACCCTAAACCCCAATGCCAGTCTTACCAGCACAGCAAGTTGAAATCGTCCAAGCAGCCGCCCCGCCTTCTTGGCGAGGTTGCAGCGTCCTACGGTGCAGTGGAAATTGCGGGCGACGTGTTTGAGAAGTTTTGGTGGTACACTCCAGGCGCTTCCTGGCCGACAGGTGGCCATGCTGCATAGAGCTGTTGGGTGTCGATTGTTGGATACCGGTTTAGGGTTTAGGGTCCAAATCACGAGGCCTGCTGCAAAAAGGATCCAAGATTTTGATGTGTCCACTCTGCGCTCTCGCCCCCCCATCCAGCCCAGTGGTGTCGCCTACCAGCCCGCCCCTAAACCCCAGTCCCTTCCCGCATCTTCACGTTAACTTCAACTCCAAGGCCATAGCCCGGAAGCTTCAATCCTTGGCTGTGCACGTTCCACCGTTCCACAGGAGCGAAAGGGGCTACCCCCCGAATCTCTAATCATTCCGTTCCAAACGGGGCGAAAGGGAAGAGGATGAACCCTGAACCCTCGATGCTCTAAGCCCGATCCCTGAACCCCCAAGAAACTGGTGAGTCCTGTGTGCTTTCTGCATGTCCTCAGCGCAGCCTGAGCTTCAGTGCATGCCCAAGGCAAGCCCGATGTGCTGGGTGACAAGTTCGGGGCTTGCAACGCCACGGATGCTGTCTGCTTCCAGAAGTTGCCCAATGACATGGAATACGGATACTTGCTGGCCGTCGACACTCGGAGCTACCCGTGAACTACATGACAAGCCCTGTCAGTGCTTTACCAGGGTAAGAGCAGCGAAGGTCACGAGCAAACGCACAAGGTTTTATCCACCTTGAAACTATTGGTACAACAGCATTTGCAGTGACAAGATTTAGGTGTCCTTACCATTGCCGGCGCCTCAAAAGGAAGTTAACATGCAGCAGCCACGTAGCCATTGACATGCTCCAAGGATGGATCGGACAACCGACGGATGTGGCAGCTTCTTGGTCGGCATCCACCTCTGAGCGCAGGGGATACAAGCCAGCGACTCTGGGGTTCACGAAATCGCACGCAGGGACATGCTAATGGCCCCACAAGCACATGGGCACATATTCCATGTCTTACCTGATCTTAGGCAGCAAGCGCTGCCTGTAGACTAAGTGACTAGGCAGGGCTGCCGCGCGACAGGAGCATTGCTTCCTGAGCACCGCGCGTTCACACACCTCTTCTCTTTTCAGGTCCACGATAACAGTTGTATTCTGGAAGTATTGAAGCATTCAGACCCCGGGACTAGTAAGCCCACTACCACAAGAAGGATGATAATCTCAATTCAGATGTTCAGGCCCTCGGAGAGAAGGAGCTTCTTAATCAGGCATCTACAGCCCCCTTTCAATCGGATGCTGCTTGAAGGTTCGTCCAGGACAACAAAGTGAGTCTGGCCGCCTTCGGAGCGTTGCGGTCGCCGGGCCCGAGGGTTTAGGGTTTGGGGTTGGGCAGGAGCCCGTTGCGACGTCCTGAATTCAATTCCGGTGTCTTGCTGACAGGTCTTGCACGAAAATGTTGCTGATGGTTTGGAAAGGGTTTTGGAGGCGTTTCGCTTTAGACAGCAGCGTGCCCGAAGGTGTGGAACATGTCACGGGGCATACGCATGCATACGCTACAGTCTGTCAGACTTATGAGCTTTCCCAGACCACAGCTATCAAAGTAACACTCCAAGAATTGGACTAGGCGTGTGGAAATTGGAATTCAGCACTTGACATTCAGAAGATTCTAACTCGAATTGCTATCCCGATGATCCCTGACCGCAGAGGCGAACAGAAGATGCTTCAAAGGAACCCGCCTTGAAACCTCAAGCCCAAGGGATGGCAATACCACGGTGGGCCTGGAGGGGAAATCTTGGAATCCCACAGTGCCCCAGCCGCAGTGATCAGCAGATAAACCGTTCATGATGATCTTAGATGGCGCCTTTCCATGAGTCGGAAATCGTTGCGATGGTAGCAGCGGTCTTGCTGTGCCGTACCCTTTAAAACGCACTTACGGCATTCTGAGGTGTCGTAGTAGCCCGTGCAGCAACTTTGGAGATGAGAGAGCATAGATGGGTTCAGTTGCCATATCATTACGAACACCCCAGAAGGACCCAAGTGCGTCAAACTCCAGTCTAAGCCTTCTTCATCAACTTGTGGCGTTTCTGTCACAACTCCGGCTCCTTCAACTACTGTTTAGGGTGATGGGTTTAGGGTTTAAGGGTTTCCGGTTTAGGGAATCCGCTGGGGGCAAGTTGAAGGAATCTTTGGGGAAAAGTTGAAAGAATCTGTTTGCTAGCGACAAACTCCCAAAAAATCCTAATTCGTAAGCAAATTCCGTTCCCTTTCGTTCCGTTTTTGCTTGGTTTAGCTTGAATACAGCATGCGCTTCTCTCCTTTTTCGCTTGTCTGTCTTCAGTTTAGAGCAAACAAAACAAGGAACTCAGTGAAGGGAATCATACAACTATTCCTCTAATGATAGGGTTTATTAGTAATATTAGTTCAGGAGTTATAAGAGAGTTTCCTAATGTTCCTGTCTTGCCGTCCATCCGGAGCGATAGCTTGTGTACACATCACACGCCGGGAGGCCCCGAGTGTCCCAAATCATCGGAGAGCGCCTGCTTGCACCCTCATCGCAAGTCGGCGACTTGCTCCCCAACCCTGTACCCCGTGGGCCAGGCTCTGAAGGGCACCGCGACGCAGGAGAAGCAGCAGCATTTCATGCAACTTGCCTATGGAAGTGTTCACCGGCCCTAGCTTGGTCGGCTAAGGGCCAAGGGCTCAGCCAAGACTGTACCAATGACGTGCGTGGAAACCCACGGAGGGAACGACGAGTGTCAGTGGGTATGCCTTTGCATTAATGATGCTCCAGCGCATGCTGTTGCTGAAGCTTTGTAAAGACTGCTGAAGCTGAGTGCGAGCATTTGTCCAAGGGGAACCCTTTGGCCAACTAGATTCTTAAGCTAGCAGCTAGTGAGCACTGATGTCTTTAGGCTTTTGATGATAAGCACAGCAACTGGGAAGTCTCTGCTGTGCACTTTCTGTGCCCAGGTACCGCCAGCAAGGTGAGACAACGACCTTCCTGCTGGACCACGATGGCAGCGGCTGCAAGTCCACCTTGTGCTTCTCTTGCATGTGTTCGGAACACACCGGCCCATTGTTGCCGCCGGAAGATCAGCATGTTGGAAGGAGACCCTTTCTTCTCATGTTTTAGCATTTGGCTGGGGAGATGACTCGGCAATCAGCATGCCGCACAAGATTGACAAGCGAAACAAGGGCGCTTCGAGAAACGTTGCTCCGATGAAACTCGGGGCTCCCATCAAGCTGAGGTACATGGGGCCGCCGCAGGAAGAGTCGCAGTTGCAAAATAGCTGCTTTGAGTCTCCCTTGATTTGTCCTCGTATGTCCTTTGCTCCTGCATGTGACATGCAGTCTACATCCGGTGTGGCACTTGTCTTTCCCCCTTGCCCACACTTTCTCTTTGCCCACCAAATCAAAGCCGCGCCCGTGGGCGCACAGCCGCCGCTGGATGTTGCTGCAAATGCAGCGCCTGATGTGCTTGCACCCGGCATCTTTTCTTGGCACGAAACTGGCTCCCAACAGCAAGCGGGCCCCGCAACGCGCATCACGCCCATACCGGCGCACTGCATGTACACTGCAGCCAGTTGGAAGAAGCTGTCCTTTGCACGTGGGATGAACAGTGAGAGTTCACCGTTATCCCACCGGTGTCCTACAGGTATGCAATCGTGTTGCCATCTTCCTACTTTCGAGCCACTGATAGCACAAGTCCAACCTGCTTTTTGTTTTCGGGTGGTGGCTTGAGAAGCTGTAGCAAGGCTCGCAGAGCTTGTCCAGGGTGCCTTCGTTCGGGTTTTGTGAGAGCCGCTGTACCGTCCATGCATCAATAAAAGTCTAAGGAGAGCGAAAGGCGCAGGGAATCTGGGAATCTTTGGGTTGCTGCGTTATCATTTGGTCCAGTCGACGTGTGATGGGATCCGGCCCTTGCAGCATGTTGGGTCTCAGACGATGTTGAGTTTGAAAAAGCGCTAGAAGTCGCAGTCGGAGCGAGTTCATATGCCTTCTTTGACTCCAGCTGCGGGTCCTCGCAACCCTTGTGGCCTGCATACTTTCCTTGCACGCACATGCTGATCTCCCGGAAAGGTGCTCGGCTGTTCGGGTGGACCATGGCCTCACGCTCTACTACCGCAATGTGACTGCCACTCGCACTTGCTGGGCATACCTTCAGGCTGTCGAGCTCGATCGCAGAACGAGACAGTAGTGCAGCCAGCCGCTGTGCGTTGCAGTAGGTTTGGCCCCCGTTGATTCCAGTGCATTCCTGCAGGGACTGCAGCAGAAGGGCAAACGTGTATGCACACATCACTCGTGCAAAGCCAGCGAAAAGCAGTTGCACCGTGAAGCCTACATGGCCAGTACTGGGACATAGCCTTTCCAAGGAGACCCTCAAGCCTCTGAGATCAGAAGTCGCAGAGCTTTACCATGGAACTGGCTTACTTCTCGTAGGTCACCAAGCTCATCTACTCCAAGTATTCGCTTTGATTTTGTGCAGACATCTTGCACAGGCTTACAGCACGTTCATACATCTTACAGTTCAAGGTTCGTAATGCATCCTAGAGACTGAGCACGGACGGCAGTGCCTGACCTGCTGCCAAGAGCTGGCAAAGGACCCGTAGGACATGTCGGAACGGAAGCCATCGCGCTTAGACGACAACGACCACGACGACCGCCACAACCACAACTACGACGACTCGGGCAGCACAGGCAATATGGGAGTTGCGAGTTTCCGATTCGGGGTGGGCAGTTTCGCACATGCCCGAAACCCTCTGCACACGATTCTTAACTAGAGCTCCGAGACTCCCCCCACCCATGTTTCATAATATTTGTGCACCTGCTGTGCACCAAATGACTTCATCCTCTCACGGTTAGAAAAAGCAAGCTTTGTCTGTACATACCTATACACAAAGCATCAAACATCAAGGTCCTTGTGGTAAACATGAAGCGACCATGCCTGCGGGAAAGTTCTGCGATGGCCTGATGGCTTGGCGATGTTTTCCGCAAAATGGCACACAGCCTCGCCCGACTGCCAGTGACTACCAATGACGACGACGAACGCGACTACGACTACTGCTGCTGCCGCTGCTGCTGCTGCTACTACTATTACTACTACTACTACTACTGCTACTACTACTACTACTACTACTACTACTACTACTACTACTGCTCCTGCTCCTGCTCCTGCTCCTGCTCCTGCTCCTGCGGTTGCTGCTGCTTCCACTACTGTGTGGCTCCAGTTGTTTCACTTATCCAATATGGAGAAGCCCTCGAGCTGGACAAGGTCGGGGTTTCAATCATTTCAATATTCTGGTAGCCCCGCAATTTCTTGGCACGGAGACCTAGTTTGTGGGGCATGCTGCCCTGGACTGCGTAGCATTGCAGACCCTAAAGAGGTTTCGAAGCTCCGACGCAGTGCCCACAAGGGACTGCCAGAAAATTTATCCATGACTCTGATGACCCTGGAACTTCAAGCACGCATGCACCCGCTTTGCTCCTGCTCCATATGCCGCCAACAGGTCTGTGCCGCTCCCACACATTCGTGGGATTCGAAGGGTTCGGGCCAAATGAAGCTTGGAGGCCGGTTTCGGGCGGGCCAGAGAATCCAGTTGCCTTGTGGCAAGGCGGACTGCCGTCTGAAGACTGTTTGCGTGACATGAGATTTGGTGCACGCGGGGTTGCTGATCACGAACTGCTGGAAGCCCCTGAAACCTCCTCCGTTGGTATGGGTGAAGCTATTATCTGCAAACTTGTATTCGACGCATGCTGGATCATCGAAGTGGTCCCTGGCCGCTAGCCGCAGCACTCTGAACAGTACGCACTCGTCCCTCCAGAAGGTGGCGACCTCTCAGAGGCCTTTCAGTCGCTCCTGTCAGCCGATGAGATGTCATGGGACGCTAACCTGCAAATGTGACTGCTGTTTGCAGCATTCAGGACTGCCACCGAAGCAATTAGTTGTGACATGCGTCCGCCGAAACCAAAGACGGCAAGGAGTTCATGCTCAAGTTGGACGAGATGAAGCCCGCGAGACGTATGCTGATCATGGACAACACTGCCAACAGCCGCAAGCATTATGTGGACAATACGTTCAGAATTGTAGCGTCCAGTTCACGGTGTGAGCTGATACTGTATGCATGGACCAAAACCCGTAAGTCGTACACATTGCATACCCGGAACCGGTGACTGGGCAGCCCTGGTGTTTCCTTTGTTGCACTAGTAAAAGAACCCTGCAACACCACGGAACGATACACATCCCTGACCAAGAAGAAGACAGCCCGCAGGCAGAATATGTGTGATGGCAAGTGGCATCACCTGGCTCTCGTCATCTCGCGAAGCAAGCAAAGCGCAGACTTGTGCCTCGCACGGTTTTGGAAAGTTCAAAATTTCTGATACCAAGTGTAATTATTGCCACATTTTCGATCAGATTCATGCTGGGGCCAGTTTACTGCCACCTGTCGAAGAGCAAATCAGGCACGTCGACGGCCAGAATGTCCTGCAAACGACAAGCCTTCGTGGCTTAGGTCGGGGACGTGGCAAGATTCTCCTAACTTGGCTACGGCCTTGCTTCGGTGATGTTAGCAAGAAGTCGGTTCTGCTTAGTTCGGCCAGTCCCAAGTGCAGCTCAAGAATCGCCCTAAACAGACTGGCCTGCTTCGAAAGTTCAGAAAGCAGGCAGCGATCGATTCGGCCCGGGCTTCAAGGTGGGCGACCACTGGGCCGAATTGAAAGCTTCTCGGTGGCGACAACATTGAGAGCTCAAGTGGCTTGAGGGTCCCCCCACATTGTGAATCCCAAATCATGAACCTGTCTGCCCAAATGCATCCAGAACCGAGGGTCACATTGGTCGCCTGCTGCTCTGGAGCAGAGCCCTGCAGCCGGAGGAGACTGGACCGGACGCCACTGAGACGTGTTCGCAGGCTGGTCAAGAGTGACGAACTCCGTAGGGGGATGGGGGTGGATGAGATTTCACGGACGTCCCGAAGAGTATAAACATGTGTAAACCTGTGGTGGCCGAATCTCTCAACCCCGGCGCAAGCCACTGTTGATGCCGTCAGTTTGACGACGGGCGTTGGAGTTTGCAGTTCTTACTGTGGCTGTGGGGCTGTGGATGTGGTTGAAAGCCTCAAGAGGGCGGCCCGCAAAGTGCTTCCTTGCAGCAGACCGCTCCTGGTCAGGCCGCAATGTCCAGCTTGGTCGCCAGATACGACTTCAACAAGGACTGCACAAATCAGATTTGTCGCTCGAATCTTCAGCCTTCGGAGAAGCCAAGCCAGGACTACAAGGACAGTTTCGGGAAGAACCCGGCTTTCGTCAACCAGAGGGCGCGGTCCGTGGGGGGAAGACGGTGAGCAACTTTTGCGCTGCGTACGTTGGTTCATGAGGCGTGCGAATACCAGTGAGATGTTGGAAGGGGCGTGCACAGCTGGCTACAGGATGTGTAGAACATCATACGCAACTGAAGCATGCACGCAAGTCCGTCAGCAAGCTGAATCTTCAGCCTTCACTTTGGATCGTTGTGGAAGCGCTCGGTTTGACTCCCTGACTTTCAGAGAAGCGCTCCAAGTGCAGGGCGACTTTTCGAGCGACGTCTACGATGCCTCCAAAGTGTGCAGCTACTGCAACTCTGTCGCTTGGCTCCTCACACGTTTCAGGGTGTCGCCAGAAGCAGTCCGACGTCCGAAACCCCAAACTGCCCGAACTCAAGCACGCTCCGATCTTCCTGCATATGTACGTGCACGTGCGTGTAAGCATGCACATGTAGAAGACCTTGCAAATTGGAGTTCAGCAATAGGTTTCAGTAGCTTGCTGTAAAGCAAGACCTCGCAGATTGGAACCGCCCAGTTGCTTTCCGGATTTCAAGTCCCGGGAAACCTTCGGAAGATCCTAGCCCTTCAGCAGCTCAGAGAGAAGAGCATTGAAGCACGAGTCTCCGAAGCCCTGGGTTTGGGCTTAGTTCTTCCGAGCCTGAAGTTAAAGTTCATGGGTCGACAGACAGTAAGCTTGTAGTACCTTTGCTGGCTTCAAGTGGAAAGTCGAATCCCTGATCCCTGCATGGCTGCGGCATCCTGCAGCCGAATAGTTGTGAGTTTCAGCGTTTTGGCAACCCTCGCCGCGAACTGCCCGGGTCCATTCCGAAACTCGGGCCCAAAAAACCAGCGCCCGTGTAGTCCGCATCTGCTCCCGTGTACTCGGCACACGATTCTTAACCAGAGCTCCGAGACTCCCCCCACCCGTGTTTCACAATATTTGGCATGTGCAGCCATGAGTTCATTCTCTCACGGTTAGAGAAAACAAGCTTTGTCTGTACATACCCATGCGCGTCAAGATCCTTGTCGTAAACATGAAGCGTCCATGCCTGCGGGAAAGTTCTGCGATGGCCTGATGGCTTTGCGATATTTTCTCCGCAAGATTACACACAGCCTAGCTAGCCCCACTGCCAGTGACTACCAATGACGACGACGAGGACGACGACGCCACTACGACTACTGCTGCTACTACTACTACTGCTGCTCCTGCTCCTGCTCCTGCTGTTGCTGCTGCTTCCACTACTGTGTGGCTCCAGTTGTTTCACTTATCCAATATGGAGAAGCCCTCGAGCTGGACAAGGTCGGGGTTTCAATCATTTCAATATTCTGGTAGCCCCGCAATTTCTTGGCACGGAGACCTAGTTTGTGGGGCATGCTGCCCTGGACTGCGTAGCATTGCAGACCCTAAAGAGGTTTCGAAGCTCCGATGCAGTGCCCACAAGGGACTGCCAGAAAATTTATCCATGACTCTGATGACCCTGGAACTTCAAGCACGCATGCACCCGCCTAGCTCCTGCTCCTTATGCTGCCAACAGGTCTGTGCCGCTCCCACACATTCGTGGGATTCGAAGGGTTCGGGCCAAATGAAGCTTGGAGGCCGGTTTCGGGCGGGCCAGAGAATCAAGTTGCCTTGTGGCAAGGCGGACTGCCGTCTGAAGACTGTTTGCGTGACATGAGATTTGGTGCACGCGGGGTTGCTGATCACGAACTGCTGGAAGCCCCGGAAACCTCCTCCGTTGGTATGGGTGAAGCTATTATCTGCAAACTTGTATTCGACGCATGCTGGATCATCGAAGTGGTCCCTGGCCGCTAGCCGCAGCACTCTGAACAGGGTTTGTTTTACGCACTCGTCCCTCCAGAAGGTGGCGACCTCTCAGAGGCCTTTCAGTCGCTCCTGTCAGCCGATGAGATGTCATGGGACGCTAACCTGCAAATGTGACTGCTGTTTGCAGCATTCAGGACTGCCACCGAAGCAATTAGTTGTGACATGCGTTCGCCGAAACCAAAGACGGCAAGGAGTTCATGCTCAAGTTGGACGAGATGAAGCCCGCGAGAAGTATGCTGATCATGGACAACACTGCCAACAGCCGCAAGCATTATGTGGACAATACGTTCAGAATTGTAGCGTCCAGTTCACGGTGTGAGCTGATACTGTATGCATGGACCAAAACCCGTAAGTCGTACACATTGCATACCCGGAACCGGTGACTGGGCAGCCCTGGTGTTTCCTTTGTTGCACTAGTAAAAGAACGCTGCAACACCACGGAACGATACACATCCCTGACCAAGAAGAAGACAGCCCGCAGGCAGAATATGTGTGATGGCAAGTGGCATCACCTGGCTCTCGTCATCTCGCGAAGCAAGCAAAGCGCAGACTTGTGCCTCGCACGGTTTTGGAAAGTTCAAAATTTCTGATACCAAGTGTAATTATTGCCGCATTTTCGATCAGATTCATGCTGGGGCCAGTTTACTGCCACCTGTCGAAGAGCAAATCAGGCACGTCGACGGCCAGAATGTCCTGCAAACGACAAGCCTTCGTGGCTTAGGTCGGGGACGTGGCAAGATTCTCCTAACTTGGCTACGGCCTTGCTTCGGTGATGTTAGCAAGAAGTCGGTTCTGCTTAGTTCGGCCAGTCCCAAGTGCAGCTCAAGAATCGCCCTAAAGAGACTGGCCTGCTTCGAAAGTTCAGAAAGCAGGCAGCGATCGATTCGGCCCGGGCTTCAAGGTGGGCGACCACTGGGCCGAATTGAAAGCTTCTCGGTGGCGACAACATTGAGAGCTCAAGTGGCTTGAGGGTCCCCCCACATGCTGAATCCCAAATCATGAACCTGTCTGCCCAAATGCATCCAGAACCGAGGGTCACATTGGTCGCCTGCTGCTCTGGAGCAGAGCCCTGCAGCCGGAGGAGACTGGACCGGACGCCACTGAGACGTGTTCGCAGGCTGGTCAAAAGTGACGAACTCCGTAGGGGGATGGGGGTGGATGAGATTTCACGGACGTCCCGAAGAGTATAAACATGTGTAAACCTGTGGTGGCCGAATCTCTCAACCCCGGCGCAAGCCACTGTTGATGCCGTCAGTTTGACGACGGGCGTTGGAGTTTGCAGTTCTTACTGTGGCTGTGGGGCTGTGGATGTGGTTGAAAGCCTCAAGAGGGCGGCCCGCAAAGTGCTTCCTTGCAGCAGACCGCTCCTGGTCAGGCCGCAATGTCCAGCTTGGTCGCCAGATACGACTTCAACAAGGACTGCACAAATCAGATTTGTCGCTCGAATCTTCAGCCTTCGGAGAAGCCAAGCCAGGACTACAAGGACAGTTTCGGGAAGAACCCGGCTTTCGTCAACCAGAGGGCGCGGTCCGTGGGGGGAAGACGGTGAGCAACTTTTGCGCTGCGTACGTTGGTTCATGAGGCGTGCGAATACCAGTGAGATGTTGGAAGGGGCGTGCACAGCTGGCTACAGGATGTGTAGAACATCATACGCAACTGAAGCACGCACGCAAGTCCGTCAGCAAGCTGAATCTTCAGCCTTCACTTTGGATCGTTGTGGAAGCGCTCGGTTTGACTCCCTGACTTTCAGAGAAGCGCTCCAAGTGCAGGGCGACTTTTCGAGCGACGTCTACGATGCCTCCAAAGTGTGCAGCTACTGCAACTCTGTCGCTTGGCTCCTCACACGTTTCAGGGTGTCGCCAGAAGCAGTCCGACGTCCGAAACCCCAAACTGCCCGAACTCAAGCACGCTCCGATCTTCCTGCATATGTACGTGCACGTGCGTGTAAGCATGCACATGTAGAAGACCTTGCAAATTGGAGTTCAGCAATAGGTTTCAGTAGCTTGCTGTAAAGCAAGACCTCGCAGATTGGAACCGCCCAGTTGCTTTCCGGATTTCAAGTCCCGGGAAACCTTCGGAAGATCCTAGCCCTTCAGCAGCTCAGAGAGAAGAGCATTGAAGCACGAGTCTCCGAAGCCCTGGGTTTGGGCTTAGTTCTTCCGAGCCTGAAGTTAAAGTTCATGGGTCGACAGACAGTAAGCTTGTAGTACCTTTGCTGGCTTCAAGTGGAAAGTCGAATCCCTGATCCCTGCATGGCTACGGCATCCTGCAGCCGAATAGTTGTGAGTTTCAGCGTTTTGGCAACCCTCGCCGCGAACTGCCCGGGTCCATTCCGAAACTCGGGCCCAAAAAACCAGCGCCCGTGTAGTCCGCATCTGCTCCCGTGTACTCGGCACACGATTCTTAACCAGAGCTCCGAGACTCCCCCCACCCGTGTTTCACAATATTTGGCATGTGCAGCCATGAGTTCATTCTCTCACGGTTAGAGAAAACAAGCTTTGTCTGTACATACCCATGCGCGTCAAGATCCTTGTCGTAAACATGAAGCGTCCATGCCTGCGGGAAAGTTCTGCGATGGCCTGATGGCTTTGCGATATTTTCTCCGCAAGATTACACACAGCCTAGCTAGCCCCACTGCCAGTGACTACCAATGACGACGACGAGGACGACGACGCCACTACGACTACTGCTGCTACTACTACTACTGCTGCTCCTGCTCCTGCTGTTGCTGCTGCTTCCACTACTGTGTGGCTCCAGTTGTTTCACTTATCCAATATGGAGAAGCCCTCGAGCTGGACAAGGTCGGGGTTTCAATCATTTCAATATTCTGGTAGCCCCGCAATTTCTTGGCACGGAGACCTAGTTTGTGGGGCATGCTGCTCTGGACTGCGTAGCATTGCAGACCCTAAAGAGGTTTCGAAGCTCCGACGCAGTGCCCACAAGGGACTGCCAGAAAATCTATTCTATCCATGACCCATGACCCTGGCACGTCAAGCACGCGTGCACCCGCTTAGCTCCTGCTCCTGCTGCTGCCAACAGGTCGCTCTCACCACACATTCGTGGGATTCGAAGAGCTCGGGCTATTTGAAGCTCGGAGGCGGGCCCTGAAGTTCAGAGCGCTTTGTGGATGATGATATAGGTCCACTATGGGTTTCGGGCGGTCTGTCATGTCCGTCCAGAGGATCAAGTTGCTGCCAAGCGGACTGCCGTTTGAAGACAGTTTTTCAAAACATGAGATTTGGTGCATGCAGAGTTGCTGATCCCGCACTGAAGTGAAGCTATTGTTTGTAAACATGTCTTCGGCACATGCTGGACCATGGAAGACGTGCCTAGCGGCAGGCCACAAACAAGCACTCCCGGAAGAAGGGTTGTTGCACAACCCGTCCTTCCAGAAGGTGAGAACCTCTCGCCGGCCTATCAGTCGTTCCTGTCAGCCGATGAGATATCAGTTGACGCTTGCCTGCCCAAGTGGTTGCTGTTTGCAGCACTCCGGGCTGCCACCGACGTAGTTGTGACATTCGTCCGCCGAAACCAAAGATGGTAAGGAAATCATGTTCAAGATCTATCGGAGACCGGACAAAGGCTACGTGTGGCTCCTGGGCAACGTAGAAGCTTGGTCCGACTACGACGAATTTCAACTCATCCGTCGACTACATTTCAATGTTGTGATCGCTTCTCGCTATGATTGCAACCTGGCTGTGTGGATGCCGAAGCAGGGGAACTGGTTCGAAAGCCCAAGAACGTGACTCGGCAGCCCTGGTGATAAGCCGAACACCCTACGAAAACAGGGAACGATACACCTACCTGATCGAAAAGACAAGAGTGCCGCAGGAAGGCCAACAACATGTGTGATGGCAAGTGGCATCACCTGGCGTTCGTCACCTCGCGAAGCAAAGAACGGGTCTACTTGCACCTGGCATGCTCCTGGCAGAAAGTTTAACTTTTATTAAATTCTGGCAGCTCGGTTTCCTGTGTGTTGCCAGATTCTCATACCGTGATAAACAGCTAACGCGCGTGCAAGTTTACGGCAATGTTCCGAAAAGCAAATGAGGCACGTCGACGGCAGGCAGATCCTCAGCCACACACAGCTGCGAATCGGGACACTCCGCGGTCGGGGTCCCCAAACTTCGCTACGGCTCTGCTTCGGTGATATGATCAAGATTTCGGTTCTGATTAGTTCGGTCAGTCCCAAGTGCTCAAGAAACGCCTTAAAGACACTAGCAGCGCTTGTTTCCGATTGTACCTTGATCACCATCAGAAAGAAGGTGCTAGCTACAACTCGCACTTCTTTGTGGGCAACAACCGTCCAGATCACGAGCAGACAGTGTCTCGGTGGCCACAAAATTGAGAGCTCAGGTGTCTTGAGGGTGCCCCTCATGCTGAATCCCAAGCCCTCAACCCTGTAAATCCACATGCATCCAGAACCGAGGCTCGCTTCGGTCGCCTGTTGCTTTGGAGCAGAGCCCTGCAGCCAGAGGAGACTGGTCCGGATGCCGCCAAGACGTGTTCGCAGGCTGATGAAAAGTGACGAACTCCGCAGGGGGATGGGGATGGATGAGATCTCACGGAAGCCCCGTAGCGTGTAAACCTGTGGAGGCCCAATCTCTCAACCCCAGTGCAAGCTAATGTCAATGCCGTCCGTTTTACGACGGACGTTGGAGTTTGCACGCTGAAGTCTTGCTGCGACTGTGCGGCTGTCTTTGGGCAAACATGCAAGATTGAGAGCACCTGGCGGAAAGCCTCAAGAGGGCGGGCCCGCAACTTGTTTCCTTACACCAGACTGCTCCTGGTCAGGCCGCAATGTCCAGCTTGGTCGCCAGATACGACTTCAACAAGGACTGCACAAAACGGAACTGTCGCTGGACCTCTTGGCCTCTTGGCCTCCGGAGAAGCCCAAGCCAGGACTACAAGGACAGTGTCGGGAAGAACCCTCCTTTCGTTAACACGAAGGCGCGGTCCGAGGGGGGAAAACGGTGAACAACTTTTGTGCTGTGTACGTTCGATTGTGGGCCCTGCGAACACCGGTGAGGTGTTGGCAGGCCCGTGCATAGCTAGCAGCAGGATATCTAGAACATCATACGCAACCGACGCATGCACGCCAGTCCGGCAGCAAGCGAACTCTTCAGCCTTGACTTTGGATCGTTGTGGCAGTGCTCGGTTTGAACACATGAATTTCAGAGAAGCGCTCCAATTGCAGGGCGACTTCTCGAACGATCTCTACGACACCTCGAAAGTGTGCAGGTACGGCAACACTGTTATACTATAGGTATCATGAGGAACTTCCAAAATAGTGTTGACAATTATTTGTGCCCTTATACTAGATTCTTGAAGTTTGGGGAGGTCCATCTTCAGGTGCCGGCCCCAAGTCTTTGGAACTCCTCGCATGGCCTGCAGGCCACGGTTCGGAGTCCCCGTATTTCCAATCATGTCGTGGGATTTTGCAATGCCAGCAGACTACGCTGCATGAATATTGATTCGCTCATGTTCATGATTGAGCAACAGTGGGCATGCCTCTGCTTCGTGTTGCTAAGTTGCCGTTTAAGTTTGGTTCTATCTCGAATATGACCGAGCCCTATGACCTGCTTCACCGAAGTTCTGAGTTGCTGCTATAGTCCCCTGCCCAGCATTTTGAACGCTCTCCCACGGCAGCTTGCACAGCTTACCGTTGGTTAGTAGGGAATGGAAGAATCGTAGTAATAGTAGTTACAACTATACCCCATTCCTCCATTCCCTACTATCCAACGGTAAGACAGCAGTGGAAAGCTGGAGTCTTTCTGCGGGCTCCTGCGTTGATCTCCGCTCAGTGTGTATACGACATCATGGTGCGAGCTGAAGCCGCATGGAGTGTGGACGGGGCACAGCTGTTGCACCCATAGCAGAACAGCGACTAGCTCATAGGATGTTGCAGGGAAGAGCATTAAAACGGCTTCTCCGTCCGTGCAGTATTCCTACCCTGCGGATGCATGCGGCCGCAAACGGGCCGCAGCACAGACAGGTGGATCACAAACCGCGACTTCTGCCTGCTCGCATTGAAGTGGTTTTTGCCGCATAAGATGGTAGGCTGGAGCATGCAGCTGCGAGGGGTTCCAAGAATCACCGAGGCTCCTCTTTCTTTCCACAAGCTCTTAATGCATTCCGAACACTTCATAGATAGATTTAGTTTGGGCGGGCTCCATCTTCAGATTCATTTCTTTGAAGTTTTCGGAAGTCAGCCCCCCTAGCGTCAGTAGCCTCAATCGGGTACCGCATGCGTCGTAGATAGGGGCTTCTCGGATCAAGTCAGGAATTCCCTTCGCAGTGCCCAGACATCAGAATCTTCCCACTGACTGCGCTCTGTCAATTATGATCTAGATCCCGGTTGGTAAATCCCTGGACCACCCATTGTAACACAAATGTCTGCTCAAGGGCTGTTTGATCAATTGTTCGTTTTCTTGGGAACATGTTGTGGAGAAACGCACACTTATCTAAGATTTCGTGCGCTTCCTGTGTTATATATCAAATAATCGAGCGCTTTGTGCTTGAATCATTGCCCGGTGCAGTCGTTGTGAATGCGGCTGATTGTAATGAGCCACACCGGCTCCAGCTTGCGATGCCGAACCGAGTGGTTCGATTCAGCCATGTGTTTTTTCATATGGGCCTTTGCGGTGCGCCACCCCCCGTTGTTTGTGCATGTGTACGCGTGTGCACGCCGTAGCAGCCAGGAAGAGCTCCATGTTCCATTACCTTGGCTTGGAGGTACAATCGGGTTGATTCTGCTGGCATCCGGGTATCCCTGGCACATTAAATTGTTTGAGATTACAGCTGTGATCCTGCCATCGTGTGATTGTTTGATAACCACCTGATTCGAACAAGCTGGCTCGAAACAAGTGCTTTGCAGTTGCTTCCTTTAAGGAGTCCAGGCACTGTCTGCCAAGTAGAGCAAGTGATCAGGAGGCTACATCATGCACATATCGGCAATCGGTCAAAGGGGTGCATCCGGGCATTGTGTGTACGATAGGATTCAGAGGTGTCACATCGATTTGTGACCATGGCGAGCTCTAGCAGCAATGCTGGGTCTTCGGTGGCTTCGGTTCGGGAGCCCGACTGCCCGGTCTTGAAAGCTTGGTCTTCTAGCCAATGGGTTTTGCAACGGCTGATGTCAAAGAACATGCTAGTCATTGCTGACAAGAGATTGAACCGTGAAGCTGTCGTATTGAACCGCGAGCTTCTCATCCCTCTGATCAACCTCGTTGGAAACTAGGCTTCATTAAAATGCTCCGGAGTTGCTGATCGATGTAGATGCGAAGCACCATTGCTCTGGCGACGATCCTAGGCTTGAGACCAAGCGTCGACTTGGTTGCGACTTATTTACAGCGCCTATACGCAGGATGTGCACCCCCGGGAAAGGCTACACCATCCGGCCCCTTGATCATCCATTGTATTGCATGTACTAGCGAGCTTAAATATATCTCGCAGGACTGCCCCCAAGCTTAGGCGATGACGTCAAGACCCAGGCGTGGATGCTGCGCCGCCTTATCAGCATATTCTCAAGAGCGGCCAAACGACCGCATACCCCGAGGGACCCGGGGTTCCGATCGATGATGCGTGAAGTGGGCATGGAGATTGCAAGTACTTCGGCTTCAGTACATGTGCAACGATCGCCCCTCTAGTCTGCTCTGCCCCTGTAACCACACTTATAGACATCCCAGGTAATGGTCCTGGCGACGGACCCTCGGACTCTGAGTACTCCTACAGCGACTCCGAAGGCTCCGAAAGTGAATCGGAGTCGGAAGAGGACCCTGAAATCTCGGAGCCGTGGATTTCAATTGTGTTGCAGCTTGCTAGGGTATCGGTCTTAATTGTGCAATGAACAGTCGCATGAAGCCCTGTAGATAAGGAGCCTATTTCCGCCCCGGCTACACCGACCAAGAAGCGCGCAAAGGTGGAACTCGAGTTGCCTTCCCTCTCCAAGCCCGGTGTGGAAACAACCCCGACAGTTCGGGAAAGCCCATGCCCGACAAGAGTATCGTCTGCTTCCTCTGACCGTAGCTTCCAAGCTGCATTCAGGTTTATCTGCTTGCAATCGATTGTATGCATGCAAAACAATAAATCCTGATCGAAATCCGAGAACCCTTTAACCGCTGTAGTCCTAGAACTTACAATCATTTCCGCAGCCCCAGAACAACAGTTGCTAATAGGTCCGTATAAACCCTAAACCCATGAGTCTGCGGCTCAGTTTCGGCAAAGCCGCCTGCATCTGTGTGCAGCTCTGCACCGATCGTGACGCCGCCTCCCAAGCGCATCTTGTCTGAAGCATGCATATAACCATGATTCTAATAATACCACGTACGTACTCTATATGCATGTGTGCATGATATTCTCGTTCCGGTGATATGCATGATGTGGCATGGGTACTTGTACCGCTATGCAGTATATTATATGCATGATCATGCTGTTCTCCTGTGTGCATGCGAACTTGTATGCTTCCATGTGCATCTGCCAGCACTAGCTTGAAAGTCTGTTTGTGCATGTCTGGCCGTGTGCATACATGTGTGTCCATGTTTTACATGTCATATGTATGAACTCGGGTTCTCTATACATATAAGAGCCATGCCTGCTTTTCATGTGTATGCACATAGTACATGGCACGAGAAAGCAGAAAGAAGAGAGAGAGAGAGAGAAAGAGAGATGAAGATAGAAGGAGATAGAGATAGAGAGAGAGAGATAGAGAGAGAGAGAGAGAGAGAGAGAGAGAGAGAGAGAGAGAGAGAGAGAGAGAGAGAGAGAGAGAGAGAGAGAGAGAGAGAGAGAGAGGAAAAGAGAGACAGAGAGAGAGAGAGAGAGCGAGAGAGATGGGTCCCTGTATTTCTAGTGGAGATGATTGCCTAGCCTAGGTGAACCTTTGTCACCGATGTCTGACAGCAGGGCAAAAGGTCTGCACTATACAGTCAAGGACCGCCGATCGGGATATGCCTGCCTAATTTGTGGGCTGGCTGGGGATATCAGGATGATTCGGTCAGAGGAGTGCCTTCCGGGAAAGGTTCCTGAATCAAAGATGGCTATGAGCCCGACCACCAAAGGCATCATGCAACAAACCCAAATCGAAGCCGATGAGAAGATCGCTCTGGAGATGGCTAGGGAGCTTGAACAGCTTCAGGCCGAGGCCGTCGAGCTAGAACAGATGAAGATACTACAGGATTTGGAGATGGAAGAACTTGAGTTACAAGGTTTGCTTCAACAGCAGAAGGCTCTGGCCTTGCAACAGGCTGCTGCTTCAGCAGGACTTATCGTGCCGAAAGATGACAAGGTCAGCCGTGCTCCCACAGGAATGGGAGTTCTTGCAACTGCAGCGGTGAGCGCCGAAGCACCGAACCTCGAAAGCCCTGAAGTCCGAGCAACCGCAGCAGTGCACTCCGAAGTCAAGGCAGCCACAGCAGCGAACCCCGAAGTCAAGGCAGCTACAGCAGTGATCCCTGAAGTCCGAGCAACCACAGCGAGGAACCCTGATGAAGTCCTAGCAACCAAAGCAGTGAACCCTGATGAAGTCCTAGCAACCACAGCAGTGAACCCCGAAGTCCCGGCAACCGTAGCAGTGAACCCCGAAGTCCTGGCAACCGCAGCAGTGAACCCCGAAGTTTCGGCAACCGCAGCAGTGAGCCCCGAAGTCCCGGCAAAGGCAGCAGTGAACCCCGAAGTCCTGGCAACCGCAGCAGTGAACCCCGAAGTCCAAGCCTGTGCTGCCAAAGTGGAGTTGGGAGCAGCTCCAGCATCCACCGCGATCGCTTGTGCCTTTGCTGCACATATATACTTAAGATTCATGTCGGACTGTGGGGTTGGTTGTGCATGCTCTTTGAATCGATCGGTCATACATAGCTGGATTTCATGGCAGGCATTGATAACTTGGAGACGCAGCCAATGGAGCTAGCCCCCATCGCTGCTACCATGGTTGATGTGCCTAAAGTCGAAGACTCAGCAGTGCCACTCGCAGAGCCCGGTTCTGGAAAGGACGAGGCTGAGGATGCTACTGGGCTATGAAAAATTCAACTAGCTATAGCTATATGTGTTGTGCATCAATGTCGTGTGCCATGTGGGGCTACTAGCTTGCAATCGTGATCGAGATAAGGCGCCGTCTACGTGTCCTGTCAAGCGGCTGCCTGCTATCACTCCAGCCGATCAGTCGAAGATGGCAGGTGTAGCCCCGAAGAAGCGTGCGAGGGCCAAGAAGGCCCAGTCATGTGATGATGATGATGATGGGAGCGACTCTGATCATTCTGCTGGGGCCTGCAGCTCTGGGGGCACCGGATACAAAGGCCGTGGGCGAGGACGGGGCCGTGGAGGGCGAGGTAGGGGCCGTACGGGAGGCCGTACGGGTGGCCGTGGAGGTGGGGCAAAGGGTGCGGGTCGTGGCCGTGGCCGTGGTGCCTCGAAGGTTGCTTCCTCCCCAAGGAAGGAATCCAGCAAGAGAGGCCACGAGGATGGAGAGACGGGGGCGCCAAGCAAAAAGAAGGCCAACCAAAAGGACGCAGAGGAGAAGCCAGCCACAAAGCCCAAAGCAAAGGGAAAAGCCAAGGCCAAGGCCAAGGCCGTGGCCACCCCAAAGGCAGGTGCGAAATCCAAGAAGGCGCCAATGGAGGATGAGGAGAATGGGCCAGCCAAGGAGCCGGTGGAAAACAGTAAGGCCAACAAAAAGGGGCCGAGTGACGAGGAAAAGAAGCGAAGATCCCGCAAGAGTGTGGCTTATCACAAGGCCAAAGTGACAACGCTTCGGGAGGGAGGCACCCCGGAGGAAGCAGTGGCAGCTGCCAAGGCTGCTACTAAGATGCAATATCGTATGATCATGACCATGCCTACATGTGACAAATATCGATCGAAGTATAGGTAAAGCTTAGCTTTCCTGCTCATCTGAGGCATATCGAGATACCGCCTGAATCCAGCCTGGATGACCGATGACAGTTTCGTGGAGCCAGTCTTTTGATCCTATGGGTAGTGGTACAAGGGCAGGTTAGAGCCTTCGCTGCCAGCTTCTCTCTAATAGTACTATATGTAGCTAACCCAAATCGAATCCCTCAATCCCGTAAGCCCTAAACTCTCAACCATACCCTAAACCCCTAAACCCCTAAACCCCTTTTGCATCCAGGCCTCCTGTGGTGTTGCCGGGTTATCAGCGCACAAACCCCTAAACCCCTAAACCCCTAAACCCTATCCTGTACATCGATCTACATGCAGACTTGTTGTCCCAGGAAAATTCAGTTATGCCCTGCTTATTGCACACTCAGCAGATGCATATGCCGGGAAGCCAGCCAGGGTCCTGCCTTTGTCGGGTTTTGGCATGCAATGCATGCCCCGGGGACACGATGTTATCAGACTTCGGTCGCTTGTTCCTATGTCTGCGGTGCGAACATCGCAGCATGCATCTGAAGTGCAGCCCCAGCCAAAAGGAAATCACGTGCTGCAGTGTCCTGATCGTTACTGCTGCTCCATGTCTGCCTGCAGTGTACGTTACATATACCCCATGCAGCCCATCTTGAATAGTGAGCCTCAACTGAAAATGCCAGGATGCCTCGTGGCCCACCTCGCTTTGCTGCCCAAGCAGAAGGCTGGCGAGTTCGCGCCAACATTCAAGGCCCGAAGCCGCCCTGCACAGAAGCTGGCTATGCTAGCATGGCTGTAAACCGTAAACCTTTGATTGCATGTTTCAACCTGTGGCCCGTTCGGATCGGATCTAGGGTCGTTCTGGTTGGTACGCACAAACTGTGCACAAAAGCTGGGGCCATGGAACCATCTACGATCACGCACTTGATTGAACTGGGTGCACCAAAGGCCTTTTGTCTGCAAAAAATCATCTTATGTTGCATACTCGGATCTCGATAGATCGTACTTTCGAACTATGGTGTGCTAGCTCTAGACCCCATACCCTACAAGTCAGTTCAAGCTTAAGCATGAGCCGAGGTGTTGGTTGCAATGGTCCTTGGCATATTTAGTGAATGGCTGCCAGTCGAGCTCGTGTTTTATGCATCCAGGGTGTTTCTTGATGCGGAAAAGCCTAGGTTTTGCTGATTCGTTGGATGACGAACATGGCCATTCAGCCACGGTTCCAGCTCTTCGACTTGTTCTGTGGACAGGGTAACCTGTCCAAATACTGGCTCCTTTGCTGCGGCTGAAGTCCATATAGGATTGCGATTCATAGATAATATATTACAACTTGCACAAATGGATACAAATGGTCTAGAGTGCATCTGTATTTTCTAGCTCATCAGGAAAGAGGCAGGCTATCCGGTGGCCAGCTATGACAAACTCTTTGGCCCTTCAATGGACATGCTCACCAACTCCGGCTTTGTGCTCCTAGCCTTAATTTACAAACTTATCGCTTGTGCTGTGCAGCTTTGATCCCACTTGGTATCGTGAATTGCATGTCTGTCTAAATGCGAATTATCTGTAACATGTAGTATACATAACAGTACCCATCAGGCTGGCGGCATGGATGGTGCTGAACATGGTTCCCGATGGCATCCTCGTTTGTGGCCCCGACTGTTCTTCCTGGGGTTTGGTGGCCAGGTCATCTTCAGGAAGGAATTATATAAACCCTTACGGCTACATGCAGTCGGACTGGGTGAGCCGGAACAATACTTTGATCAGTCGGACTCCAGCCCGCAGATTCGTTCTGTACAAACATGCATGTGTGCACGCAATGACATATACATGTGTGCTTGCTCAGGCTTGTTCTGCTGCTGATGCTGACGCTCGCCATGCACGCCACCTTCCTCCTAGAGCAGCCGGGGTGCAGCCTTCTGTTCAGATCACATCGTTGGGAGTGGTTTGTGAACCAAGTTGCATATGCTACTTGCTTGCAGCCAGGGTTCACTCGTGTCCCAAATCATGGCCGGTATGTCAGCAGATCCAAGTGAGCACTTCACCTAGGTTCGTCAAGCCAGGTTCTGGATGGGGCACCACGGAGCTGCAAGCCCCAAACCAACCCTTGTCTACAGCCCAATGAGAACAGTGGGCAAGTTGGACCGTGGCAAGCTTTCCAAGAAAGATCGCACTTGCTTGTCATTGCAAACGGTTCGTCGCTTGTCTGACCCGAACCATTTAGATTCAGTACCTGTATGATGTGAACCCTGACTGCATGATTTTTGATTTGCAAGTGAGTCGCCCAGGCAGGCACATCGACAAGTCCGGCAAGTCCCGCTTCACTGGCAAGAGCCAGGAGTTGAAACAGTCCGGGTTCCGTTGCCGGCACAATTCATGGATCATGTTTACACATTACCTTGACGAGCCGGGGATAGTATACGTAGTATGCATGTTCGATATCTGAGGATCTACACTCTCGAGTTCGCCAAAAGTTTGCTAGAAGTTTATGAAGCTTGGCTTGCCCACCCTGCAGCTGAACGAGGAGATCTACGTGTGAGAAGGAAAGTTCATGGGCTGCTCACAGACAGGGAACTGTTCGAGGGCATGCCGCTCTCCGATACATGGATGGACTCTGGAATCCATGAGGTTATCCTGTACTTGTACAAGTCGAGTTATCTGAAGACACTCGGGCATCGAAGCTAGCAAAACCAGTGGTATAAATCTCGGTCGGAGACAGGAGATCTTACTATTTAATAGACTAGATAGCAGATGTCGAACTCCAGGGCAATACCTGCACATGTATAGTCAAGCCAGGCTAGCAGGACTTGTTCGAACTTTTCATAGTAGCTAGCAAACACAACTAGAATCATAACTCTAGAGATATGCATGCATGGTGTGTGTATATGTCATCTGTGGGCATTAGTTTATGCTGTCTGTCGGATCCGTGTACTTGCAATATGTAATCATATATGCTGTTGTAATCGTGTGTATATGTGTGTGTTGCACACATGTACTATATGCATGCATTATATGCAAAAGCACATATGCAGTATATGTAAGTTAAATGTCCATCTAGTAAACTAATGCTGCATGTTATATGCTTGTTTGCATGTCATAGGTACCCTTGAAAAAAGACTTGTTCATATGTCTGAGCATACTACAACCCTGGCCCAGGATCCCGGATAGCTGGTTGTCCGTCATGGACAAGTTTATCGAGGAGTTGAAGAACTGTGCAACTTGCCCGCAGCACGTGGGGTGCTTCCCAAACAACCTATAATCAGCACTGGTAATTTCCCGCCCTACAGAAGTTCTTCCTTGCCAGCATAGCAACCCTCGACCCGTACTCCACGCAAACAAACTATGATCTAGCACCCTTAACGAGCCAATAGCACATACTGGCCAACCTAGCTGGCTCTATCTTAGTCTGTAGGGTTCTAGGGGGATGTTCAGGCCTAAATTATGCATATCTATAGACCGTACGATGGGAATCGAGCTTGTATGTTCCCATGGCACAGAGCAACCTGAACGGGGCTTCTGATGTTGGGACCGGGTTTAGGCTAGGACTCTGGGTTCAGAAGAGAGGATTCGTGGGCTATGTGTTGGTGACACCTAGGGTCTATCTTATGGGGTTTGTATAATATATATATATATATATATATATATATCGTCAAGGATCCTATGCTGGGCTGTATATTAGCTAGTACCCTATAGGCATCCTAGACACTAGGGGCCCAAAGCCAGAAAGCACATAGCCCACACCTTCAAGACCGAAACCTATAGTATATGCTATATATATATATGTATAGATCTATATATATATATATATATATATATAATATCTATATATATACGGCCGGTATATGCTAATATATATATATATATATATCGATCTATATATAATATACCCCACTAAAACTCTAATGGACTTTACTGAACCTAACGCACAAAACACCTTGATGGCGAATTGGTGGCCAGGTCGGGGTGTCTGTTGACTATAGATACTATAAGCTGGGGTCTATGTGGTCAGGGATGCTACCTGCCTTTCAATTACTCGACTAGGACTGGGCCTGGCTTGGATTACGGGTTTAAGCTAGGTTAGGAACCCCAGGAGATGAGGTCAGGTTGTTTTGGGACAGATCGGGGCCCCAGGCCCCATGGTTTGTCAGGTCCAGGGTTTCAGGGGCTGCTGGTAGAGGACAGAATATCCCAGGAAAGCGGACCCGAGGCCCAAACCCTGGAATCCCCTCCTCTTCTTTAAAGGCGTGCGGGACGGCCTCGCTCCGGGAAGAGCTTCGACAAGCGGAGCAGGAAGCCAGGACTGCTCCTGCCTCTAGTGCAGAGGCTGCTTAGGACCTAATAGGACTTGAAAGGGCAATTATAATAGGTTGTTAGGATCATATTATCAGGATTATTAGGACTTATTAGGATGTTAGGATCATATATTAGGATTATTAGGACTTATTAGGAGGCTAGTTTGAGCAGTTTTACAAAAATGTGCTCGGTGGTACCATTTTAGGGGTATGGGTGGGAAATCGCAACCCGCATTTCGAGCGCATATTCCCGCAAAGCGGGCGCAAATCGCCGCATACGGGCGCATACTTAGAATCTGCTCGGACCAACTGCATTTGGGCGATTTGCGCGAGCAGTTTCTCTAGAAGCTCCTGGGCAAAGCCATAATTAGTGGGATTACATACAGCCGGTCCATGATTGCTGCAGCCAAAAGAGGCTGGCCTACTGCTCATGATGGTGCGTGCTGGTCGTTTTGCAACTAGCTGCTGTCACCCATCCTTGCATGATTGTCTCAAAGCAACTGCTGCCCTAGCTTTTCGGTATGGCCACACGTTTGCCATCCTCTGCAAGTCTAGCTGCTGGAATTGCCATGGTTCAACAGATGGCAACAGGTGTGTCTAGTGATGATCTGGCTGCCAAGATCGCTGTCCTTTGTTTGCATCATCGGTCGTAACATGAGCTAAGCTTAACCGCTGAACCAAACAACCCAACCCCAGCCTTATAATTATGGTAGTAGCTAGAGTAGAAGCTAACAGGTTGAGCCAACGATGTTACACTGTGGACACATTATCTATCTATCGGTCTGTACTATCGACATATATATGTAGACACATGTCAAACATATGCAGTGTGTCCAGGCATTGTCATTCAGTGCTTACATATCGCATATATATATATATATATATATATATAGACACATACATAGTATACATCTATCGTATGTTTTGTCGTCTATCTTAAGTATAATACATGCATATAACATATACATATATATATATATATACACATATGTGGTGTATATGCATATATATATATTAACATACCTGGGCTGGCTTCATGTTCTATCGATCGTTTATATGCAGCATGATAAGACTATTGCTTTGTTTGAAGCTGAACCGGTTACTACACTATACTATACCATGTGTTATATGTATCACTTTAAAGATATTATCGCATCTGTATTATGCCAGTTTAATGCAACCCCTAAACTCTAATCTCGAGAAACGCCAAACCCAAATCACAAGTCCAGCTGAGTCCGCTTCAGAAGCCCCAGTCCCACAAAAGCTTATGGGGCCTCCTGGTTTGGGGACTTATGAGACTCGATGGGATCTTCTAGATATTTTGAACCCATAGGTGGGTTTAAACAAACCAAGCCTTTTAAAATCTGCTTTCTCATGCACTATCCAATAAGTATTACCCCTACCTCTTCCTTCCAAGGCTGCAAAGGCTCGCATTGCCTCGCTGCAAGCATCCCTCACCAGGCAGCCGAGTACGTTGCTTGATCCGCCTGCCGTCCCAGGTGCCATCATGAGGTTAGATTCCTCTCCTATATGTATTAATCTAACAAATCTAGCAGATCTGTAGTAGCTAAGACCGAGGTGCCCCAGCAACAGCTTTGTCTTTGACGGAGGATGTGGCTGGAAAGAGTATTCGGAATCTTGGTAGCTTCAAAGCGAGCAGCGAAGATGCTCAGCGTGATCCCCTCTACCACGCCGATAGCAATGCGACCCTGGTACTTCCCGGGCCAAAGTCTCCTGAAACCTCGCCCAAGCCCCTGATCACTGTCGAGCCGACCAAGACCCCTAAGAAAGAGAGGGGTCGTTCCCGCCACCACCACAGCCACCGCCGCAAGCGCCACGGTGATCGGTCGAGTTGCAAGAAGAAGCTTTTGGTTTCCCCGGTGACTTTGGCTTCGATTGTGTTTCAGGACACATGCATGCATACTTAATTGATATTTATGTTAAGATGTGCTAGTTTGGGATCCTAGGTGCCTCCTTCGAAGTCGAAGACTGACCCGCCCAGCGATGATGCAAGCAGTGATGGTGTGACGTCCAAGTGCAGTACTGTGCGGTCCCAAAGCCCAACCTACTGGAGGTGGCTCGAACTAAGTATTAGAATGAGGTTGTGCTCATGCAGTCATGCATCAGTGCCGGTGTCCGGGTCAATTGAGGTTGCGGCGGTACTTCCAGCCCCGATCCAACGGAAACCTCAAGTGCTCCAAGGAGGCCCTCGAACTTTACTCGACAGAGGCTGGCAGCAGCCTGATGAGCACTTACTGTATGTGCTTAAATTGCTATAGCTGATTGTCCCGCCCAGCCTCCAATCATCCGCGATCATGAGCAGCAACAAGGAAAGAAGCTCCACCAGATCCTCAAAGACAAGGGCGACTTCAAGCTTCTTGAAATGGCCGTGAAAAAGGTTCACCGCAAGATGTTTGGCCAGACCAAAAGCGGTGGCTGGTACACCAAACATGCTTTGCAGAACCAGTTCCACTGGACGAGGACTTAAGCTTATGTAGTACCCAGCAGCCTATGAAACTCAATACTATGGCCCGTACATACTACATACTCTACCACATGACCAGGCAAATGATTGCTGCGGCATGGCAGTGGGCCAGTGCTCACGGAAACTTGAGGGTGAACGAGGTTCACAAGGAGGAGGAGGCCCGATTGGTTCTTTCGGACAACTTTGAGTTGTTGGACGAAAGCGGACAAGAAATCACGATGAGCGGCACTCTCGAGATGGAGGCCCAGGGTTTGGGGCTGACTGTGCTAGCACAGCAACAGGACTAGGAATAGTAACAACAAGAATGTGAAAAACAGTAGTTTATTATATATAAATTCTATGTGAAATGAACCATTCTTGTTGTTACTATTCCTAGTCCTGTTGCTGGTGCTATGATATTACTTCCTTTTTTCTTCTAGACTAGCTACTACTAGCTGCTATGTACTACATGTGTGCTCTTGCTGCTGCTGCTGTTGCGACAGCTATCACTATTGATAAATGCTCCCGCATTGCTGAGGGCACTACCACTTATAAGTACTGCTCCCACTAGTACTACTACAGCAACTTCTACTACTGCTACTACTACTACTACTGCTACTACTACTACTACTACTACTACTACTACTACTACTACTACTGCTACTGCTACTACTACTACTACTACTACTACTACTACTGCTACTACTACTCCTACTACAACTGCTGCTAACACTGCTGCTGCTGCTGCTTCTGCTCTCCCCGTACAACCGCAACATGTATATACATATATATATATGTATATGTATATTTATTGCATTAGTTATTATATACATATATAGATACATATATAGATACTTATAACATGTATTTCCAAACCTGAATTAACATATCTTATAAGACCTAAGAGATCCCGTACTTCTCCATAAACCCGAATATCAGATACTCCTACTGCTGTGGCTGTTGGATCTATCCTGCCGCTGCTTTCGAGTTCGGCCGCCACCACGACCACCACGACGATTGCTACTACTATATGTATATATATATATATCTCTCTCTCTCTGTGTCTCTCTCTCGCTCGATCTCACACATAACATGTATGTCGTCATACATACAGACCTATCAGTCGAAAACTATGCGACAAATATGATTTGATATATATATATATATTTAATTCTTCCACCACTTCAGGACGAGTCCGGCTTCCTTATGGAGGATGACCTGCCGTCGATGAGTGGCCCGACCGCCGCCATCCTGAGCCACCCAGCCTCCTCTTCGGATGGACATGAGAATGTGGTTTCGGGCCAGGCTGCTTCCTTCAAGAGCCTTGCTGTATGGTTTGTCGAATCTGCTCCACATGCATTTTGTACGTCGTCTGTTGCAGGGCTTGGGGTTCTATAAATTACGTGTGGCGATATGGGCTGAGGATGGTATTCCCGACACTGGCCCAGAATGCATCCCCTGTGTCTATTCTGGCGAGCTTCATCGATGTCTGCGGCCGGAAGATGGACCAGTCAGATGAAGTTCTGGACCGGAAGTGCTTCCTTAGATGTTGCAGCAGTTCACGCAAGCACCACTACTTATGAGTCTCACGCCTCGAGGCCTACGTGCTTTGAGTATTGGTCAAGTAGATTTGAAAATCTAGGTTGGAATCATGCATACTGCTTGTTTGTCGGGTATTCGATCAAGTACCTATAGCTCATGCAATAAAACCATGCATGCAGGATCTGCTATAGCGAAAACCGCAGCCCGAAATCCTAAAGCAAGCCGCATCACACCGATGGCAGGACAAGCTGCTCAAGCTTGGCAACGACCGAGCCACAGCGATACCCAACTGCACTTCACTTTGCTCTAGTTGTCACATGCTAGATTTTCTGGCAATCACACAACTAGTTTAATTGCTTTTTCGAAGCTTGTATCTCAGGCTTCATGATCAAATCAAGAATATGGTGGACGAGCTGAAGCTGGCCTACAAAGCCCTGACCCTGAAGCAAGCTGACAGTGTCGTGACAGTGCCCGACCAGCCCTGCCCTAAGAAGTATGCTCATGCATGTGATTGACAACCTTATAAATAGCCGGCTAAGAATTGCAATCCAGCTAACTATAAACCCCTCCCGAGGGCCTTCAACAATGAGCTTCTTCGGATCTACGCAGACATCACCAAGAAAGATGTGCTCTTGAATAACTTCATCCTACGCGCTCGGTGCTTCGATTGCATTATATGATAGGCCTCGAACCCGAATGTACATCGATCCCAATAGGCCTATTTATTAATTTCTCAGGTATATACATATAAGAACTTCCCCGATAAACCTCCCAACCCGATCCTTCTTAAAATTATTTATATATTATATATATATATATATATATATATATATATATATATATATTAATATCATATCTAATACAGCACAGCCCTGTACATGTATCATAGAAAGACTACTCATGTGACTACTCCTGACCCATGAACCCGCAGACCGACCCTGGCCTATGTACAAGAAGTGACCCTGGCCTATGTACAAGAATTCTCGATCACCTGCTTCTTTCTATCCAACCCTCTCTCTCTCTCTCTCTCTCTCTCTCTCCTTCTCTCTCCTTCTTTCTCCTTCTCTCTCCTTCTCTCTCCTGCTCTCTCTCTCTCTCTCTCTCTCTCTCTCTCTTTCTCTCTCTTTCTCGCTCTTTCCTCTCTCTCTCTCTCTCTCTCTCTCTCTCTCTCTCTCTCTCTCTCTCTCTCTCTCTCTCTCTCTCTCTCTCTCTCTCGCTCTCTCTCTCTCTCTCTCTCTCTCTCTCTTTTCCTGATGTATCGATCTATATATGTATGAGACCCGACTTCCAAAGCTAAACTCTGGACTCTTCTAGACCTCGCAGTCCAAGACCCCAAGACACCACGTCTCTGTAGTTGCAGCGCAGGCCGATGGTGAAGGCGGTGAAGCCGTCCAAGAACAAGGCTCCTGCAGCGAGCAAGGCCAAGGATGGCAAGAAGGACAAAAAATCCAAAAAGGAGAAGAAGGAGAAGAAGACTGACCCCAAAGGCGGTCCCAAGAGTAAGAAGGCCAAGACCGAAGCCTAGGAGTTGCCCCTTCTCGAGTTGTGTTTCCCTTGCCTTGCAGCAATGCAATATGAATCGAAGAATATAATGGTACACTCTGTTTCTTCATGCATAAACTACACCACTAGTGATCACTAGCCCTGCTGGTCACAAGCTTTCGTGCATTGTTGCTGTGCAAGCTCGATCTGGCTGGTCTCTTAAGATGACCGTGCTGCTAGTTAACTCATCCGCACATATGCTGCGATCCTCGATCTTTCTGCAAACATGCAACGTGCAAACCTGCCCGGGGAAGAGGCAGCAGAGCACACGAGAAAAGGAGTACGAGCTAGTGTGCGCGAATCCAGCCTGTGTGTGTCGATGTGCTGCACTGCAAGTGTCATCCCTCTTTCTATGGATGCTGGTTACATGCCTCCCTAGCCCGACCTGCCGTTCCCGCAACGCAGGTTACTTACATGGAAATCAAAGGCTTGATGGCGATGGCAGTTTCTTGGCTTAATCTATCTTCCGATCCAACACCCTGTAGGCTCCTAAACCCCAGATCTCCACAACAACGGGCTCGCTCCTCCAGGTCCGGACGACGGCGACATCTCCGATTTCGACGATGACCTTGCTGAAGAGCTTTTTCGCGGCTTTGCTTCAGGAGAGACTTGGCTGTGGACTGGGGTTAACTAATCAGTATTTTGGCCTGTGATCTACTTACATATATTATCTGAACCTAGCTTATATCGGGTGCCTTATAGGTTTGCCTGATCTGACGGAACCATTGAGGCTGATTCTGCTAGACGTGTTGTGCGGTTGGCTTGTGTGGCCGACACAAAGCTTCGAAGGTATGGCTGCATGCTACCATACTAGCAATTTTTTGGGGATCTGGTGCACTAGGTGGCTATGCTAATATGTATACTTAAGGGGTCTGTACTTGTACCATGTGTGATTAAATATCATAATGTGTGTTGCATGTGGTTCCTGGATCCAGGGTTTCAGGGATTAGTTCACTAAATCCTGCAGGTATTGATGATCGCGAGCTGAGGGAGCTCGCCAAATGTGGGCAGAGCCAAAAACATGAACGCCGTGGCCTGCATCGGCTCATACACCGCACTGGCCGTACACTGCCGGTCAGAATTTCAGAAGTACTGACCCCTGTTAAGATTCCTGGGCAGCGTCGAAGGACAATGGTCAATTTCCCGATTTTATTTCCTACCTCCTGGGCTCGGCAGATTTTGTCTGACGAAGGCAAACTACTTTTGGCAGGGTTCTCCATCATGCAAGAGAGGGAATGGCGAGACACATTTAGAACATTCTGGAGCAGGTTTTACTTTGTTCGGCCCGACTTGGACCTCTACCAGCAAAGCAGCTTCGATGTATCAACCTGCATACCGATAGCATTTCACGGCGATGAAGGCCGTGGGAAGCTTCGACGAGCTATCATGATACTGTCGATGCAACCGATAATATCCCACAAGGGCCCAAAGTACACCAACATGAGTGGGCCCCTCGTCTTCAACCGATCAACAACCATAGGTCATAGTTCGACAACCTGGCCTAGAGTCCGAAATTTATTCGAGTTTAATAGCATATCCCAATCCCACCAGTTCCATCCAACCGAGGCACTCCTTCACATCACGCCTGCTGTACACCGTCGTCCCAGCGCAGATGTATGCCTCGAATACCATTGACAAGCTCAACGAGGCAATGGCAGCTGATGTGAGGTCTGCATACTTTGATGGGATTTCAGATACTTGACTCAAATTTACTTCAGCATGGGAATATGGCTGTGAACACAGCATGCATGCATGCAATGTGCTGGGGTGAATTGCTGATCGAAGGTCACCCATGCTGGAAAAGAACTTACTTTCCGGCTGGTCCCAATCATGATTAAAGGTGACTGGCCGTTCTTGCGGCTGGCGATGAGCTTGAGTGCAGGCTATAATTGCAACCGGAAGTGCCATTTGTGCGAGGGACAGGTGGGATCTAGTATAGCCATCTAGTTGTTTTTGATCTGGAGAGGTTTTGGATTTTTGGGTATATATAGCTATACTACACTAGCTGCAGGTAAGCTTCAATATAACTATTAGTACTATAGTTCTAGGGCTGTTGTAGCTGCTAGAGGATTGGTTTGACCTGGGCCCCGGGAGCACAACACGAAGTTTGAAACGGGATGATGTGGTCAGTGAAGCTTGGAAAGAAACACGTTCCCCACTACGTGATTTACCCAGCTGCGACAGTGCAACATTTATTCAACCTGACCCTGCTCATGTTTATGCTATCAATGGTTGGGGTACCAGCCTTGTTGCTTCGACAATCGTTTTGATGGCACATATGAAGTGCTGGGGAAACTCTGGTGTGCAAAGGGGCCTCACCAATGGCTTCATCCGGTTCAAGCAGTGGTGTGTTGAACACCACAAGACAACCAGTTTGACGGAGTTTTCAAAAAAGACCTTCAAGATGAAGGAGTGTCTTGCTTGCAACCAGACATACCCTAACTGACGTATATCCCTAAGCCCCTAGCCCTAAACCCTAAATCCTGAAGCCGTGAATTGTTGCTGGTGGCATTCAGATAACCCTGAAGGCTGAAGCTGAAACACTATCCCGGTGGATGTGGAAAAGGTCATGACACGGCTGTACTGGGATCATGGCTCCATGATGAATTGCAGATGTATGATGAGTCGACGATTGCTCCTATGCACATTATGGTGAAATCAAACCCACCCATGGCCTAGTTTTCTGATTTTACAGCACTAGCCCTGGGTAAAGATCTGGGTCGAGCTACATACATCGAAGCAACCATAATTGCTTGCATGCGAGGAACCGTACTTCACGGCCGTCTTCAAGCTGCTTCGCTGGACTTTGGCAGCGGTCAATGTTTATTGGAGAGGCTTATATGCGCACGGTGTGTGGATGCATTGCTCGTTTGTCCCACCTTTGCTTGAAGCCGGCTTCAGCATGCTGGCCCCTTTGTTTGCACACGTGGCAATGGGTTGCTTCTTTGGAAATTGAACTCATATTGCAATACAGATCGAACTGAATAATACAGATCGAGTTGTTCTAGAGTTCATGAGTGATCAGGATGGGTATGGCCAGCTGTCTGCATACACTGCCGACATGGGCCTTGCAGCCTTTCGTGTGCGACCAAAGTCGCATCTGCAAATCCACATAACGTGCCCAGGCTGATTCGATCACTAGTACTATAGTGTATATGTACAACCCGGACCCTAAGCCTCCACTTTTAATTTAAGATTTGCTAGCTTATACTTTTTTTCAATCAATGGTTCATGCATCTTGATCGCCCGAGTCCACCGTGCCTCCGCAGGCTAAACATGCAACATCAACTAGATGCTGGTGCTGAGTGGATTTTCAATCCATTGAGCTACTTACCTGCATATTCATTAAGACTTTGCGACAGATTGTGGTGGATGCATGGTGCATCGAGCATCATATGAGCATCCGAGGTGCCGCCTGTTGGACTGATGAAGACTTTGTAGGTAGATGTTCGAGGCTATCAAGGAGGACTCACAGCAGAACCACGCCCCATCGTACTTTGTCCATGGCCTTACTGCAGTATGGCCGAATGCGAAAGGCATTGGACTAAGCTGCAATGTTGCAGATCGACCGAGCTGGAGATGCCAAGCCCGCGACAAAACCGAATCCCATGCTTGTGCAAGCGGGCTGTGTCGTGCACTTTCAGTGTATGAGCAAGATCTATCGGGCACTTCTTCTTTCAATCGAGCGTTTATCTTTTCTAGTTCGTAAAGCAGGCATTATTCGTACACCCCCAAAACCCCGAACGGAAATAAGTGTTACAAAGGGGGCTCTAGGTCTCGCAATCGACAAGTGCACGTACGCTACATCTTCCCAGGCTATGGTCGGCAGGTTGTTGCTGGGATTCTTGCGGAGCTGTGTTGCTTCATGATTGCGAGACCAGGATAGTGAGCTTGCAAGGGCGTTGTTGCCACCCAGAAGATCCTTAAATCCTAAAGCTGTTTGAGAGTTTCGTCGGATTTCGGAGTGACAGTTCATGCGGTCCCCTGCCCAGCTCTGTGAACGGGCCACCATCTCTGCTGCAGCATCCGACGGCGACCTGCACGAAAGCAGCACATCGCCTTTGAAAGCTGCAAGCTTTCCAAACAGTTTTTCCTTAGGACGTCATGTGCCGGGAGCGAGGTTCTGACGGAGACGGCACGCAGCTGCCCCAAAGCGAAAACAGAATCCTCAATAGCCTCTACATCTATGGGATCCCACTCGTCGGTTCTCACCTCGCGCACGCACATGCAGCCGCCATTGGCCACAGTATAGGCAGGCCTTTCACAAGGTTTTCAGTCTGTAGATTCATCGTGGAACTTCAAGATCATCAAGGTCCTGGCCTCAAGTCGCTGGAACTCCTCGCCTGACCTGTGGGTCGTCGGCGCTAGAGCGGAGGCAGCAATAAGCCAAGTGGCATCTGGTTTCTGCTGGTTCAATCCGCAGGGCATTTGTAAAGTAGGAGTCCCCGTAGCCTCAGTACCATCAGTGCTGCAGCTTTGAAGTCTTCGAGCCTGGCGGTGAATCAACCGGACCAAAGGCTGCTCTGGGAGTGTGGACATCGGGAACCGCATGCGTCGTAGATGGAGGCTTCTAGGATCGAGTCAGGAATTGCCTTCGCAGTGCCCAGATATCAGAATCTTCCCACAGACTGCGCTGTGCCAATTTTGATCTAGCTCCAGGTTGGTAAGTCTCGCAATCGACAAGTGCACGTACCCTACATCTTCCCAGGGTATGGTCGGCAGGTTGTTCTTGGGATTCTTGCGGAGCTGTGTTGCTTCATGATTGAGAGACCAGGATAGTGAGCTTGCAAGGGCGCTGTTGCCGCGCATTCTAAAGCTGTCTGAGAGCTTCGTCGGATTTCGAAGTGACAGTTCATGCGGTCCCCTGCCCAGCTCTGTGAACGGGCCACCATCTCTGCTGCAGCATCCGGCGGCGACCTGCACGAAGGCAGCACATCGCATTTGAAAGCTGCAAGCTTTCCAAAAAACCTTTCCTAAGTGAGTAAGTTAGTGACAATTGGACGTCATGTGCCGGGAGGGTTCGGACGGGGACGGGACGCAGCTGCCCCAAAGCGAATACAGTCGCCTCAATACTCTCTCAGTCTAAGGGATCCCACTCGTCAGTTCTTACCTCGCACACACATGCAGCCGCCATGGGCCGCAGTGCAGGCAGGCAGAGTCGCGAGCTACGTAGTACATCCGCGACCTTTGCCTGCAGGAATTGTTTGATATTGCCAATACTGCCGACACGTCGAGGGGTTCCAGGAATCACTACGGCTCCTCTCGGAAGAAGCTTTTCGCAAGGTTTTCAGTCTATAGATTCACAGTGGAGCTTTAAGATCATCAGGGTCCTGGCCTCAAGTCGCTGGAACTCCTCGCCTGACCTGTGGGTCGTCGGCGCTAGAGCGGAGGCAGCAATAAGCCAAGTGGCATCTGGTTTCTGCTGGTTCAATCCGCAGGGCATTTGCAAAGTAGGAGTCCCCGTAGCCTCAGTACCATCACTGCTGCAGCTTTGAAGTCTTCGAGCCTGGCGGTGAATCAACCGGACCAAAGGCTGCTCTGGGAGTGTGGACATCGGGTACCGCATGCGTCGTAGATAGGGGCTTCTCGGATCAAGTCAGGAATTCCCTTCGCAGTGCCCAGACATCAGAATCTTCCCACAGACTGCGCTCTGTCAATTATGATCTAGCTCCCAAGTACACGTACCCTACATCTTCCCAGGTTGTTGTTGGGGCCGTGTTGCTTCATGATTGAGAGACTAGAATAGTGAGCTTGCAAGGCCGTTGTTGCCACTCAGAAGACCCTTAAATCCCGAAGCTGTTTGACAGCTTCGTCGGATTTCGGAGTGACAGTTCATGCGGTCCCCTGCCCAGCTCTGCGAACGGGCCGCCATCTCTGCTGCAGCATCGGACGGCGAGCTGCACGAACGCAGCACATCGTGATTGAAAGCTGCTTTGTTAGAAAGCGCTTCAGTTCGTTGATACCCATGCGAGGGACGTATCGGATGAACTGGACTGGGCGACTAAATGGAATTGGGGTTATATGATTTATTATGGATTGGGTTATGGGAGGAATAAGGGTCGCCAATATAAGTGTAAATATATATGTGGGTTAGATGGATTGCTGTCCGCTAGTTATATGTGGCCATCGGGTAGTCTTGGTTCTTGCACCTGCGCTTTCTGCCTCGTCCTAGAAGTTAGGCCAGCTTTTCCTTGCAGGCGCATCCCGATGCTTTTCCTGCAGGGCTGGATTTATGTTATACCCGGAATACCCTTGAGGATTGCCGGCTTTTGTGGCCTTCAGGGAGGCCTTAAAACCCCGAGGCGCCATGAGGGGCCCACCGCCTCTTTCAGGTGGGGACTTCTGCATGCCGTGATAAAGCAGCGAACTCCACTGATTGCACGGAAATGGAGATGGGTTAAATGGGGTACATAAATAAGACCGTCTACAAGGATGCCTTTGTCCTTCAGCCAGATCTGGAACTTACCAGAAGGAAGGCCTGAAGACCGTCTAATCAAGAAAGCTGGCGTAGCTAGTCTTGCGTTTGTACTACTATGGTAGTGAACCCAAGGTCGCGCCAAACCGCACAATTCCTTGATATCTCAACAAAACAGCCCCCCCCTGCCATCAAGCAAGGCCTCAACATGCGCGTCCACGTCAAACGTCTTGGATGTGCTGGAAAAACAAATACAAATGGCATGTCGGTCTTCGTTATGGCAGCATAGCGAGCTTACAAGACCGCTTGTCCATCCCCCTTCGTCTTGCTCAATGCTGTTTGGTTCTATCCCAGACACGACGAGGTTGTTGGACGAATCCTACATCCTAGCCAGAAAGCCCAGACTTTGCCGGAATACCGAGTAAACCGCAGCTGTCCCCCGCCCAGCTCTGTGAACGGGCTGTCACCTCCGCTGCAGCCATTTCACGGCGACCTGCACGAATGCAGGCATAGCCTTTGAAACATGCATTTG